TTTACGCGTGCATATTATAACCACTCGTGTGTCATGTATTAAAGTAGGAGCACGGAACTGCAAACTCACTTAGTACTTCGATATTTTTCGAGTGTTGTTAAGATCTTGAAATTCATGATCCAATGTGATATAGTAAATGCAATATCACTAGGGACTTTAGACGGATTTTAGTATACTTTTATTTGTGAATAGTGCCAACTGCCAAAAATTGTAAGATGTATCTCTAAATGGTGCAATTCATAAGAAGTGTACTGCTACTTGACTTCTTGAGAAATAAATTGCTTGCGTTACACCAAGTGACTAAAGTAAGGCTGACATGTCTTAGACCACTCGTACACCGTTTTTTTCACAAAAATATTCGATTGAAATCTGTTTAAATCGTGTTGACTCAGTTACATGATAATAGTTTTTACAGTGTAATACCACTTGTTTCTCGTGAGACCCTCTCCCTGTACTTTGACATAAAACTTAAATTAAGCAGTGGAGATGTTGTACCAGTCTTGAACTACTACGCCACTCAATGAGATACATTTTCGTCTGGTGGTTGCCGATTTCAAGTGAATTGTCGCTATACAAAAGAATGTGGTTGCAATATTTGCCATTTTATATACTATAACAGCATAAACCCATGGTAATTTGTATACTGGAGTAATCAGTAACGTATTCCCTATTAGGTGAGACTATATTTCGCTATATTTTTCTCGATTGTGCAGTTATTTACGAAATAATGCGTATAGTAGGACCCAACAGTAACAGCGTAATAATGGTTGCAACTATTGCTGCCATCATTGTTAATAAAGAGTTACCGTGAATAATGTGGTTAGTAAATGTTCTTAGAAGATATAAAGAAGATCTGCAAGTTGAATTGCTGTATCAAGAAGTATCATGCTGATTTATATAAATTGAAAAAATAAAATCCAAGGCAGTGGTGCTATGTCGAATTAAATTACTATTGTCATGCTGTTATGTTGGGAAATTGCTGTGTACATTGAACACCACCTATTATTAGAAGCATGCATGTCCAGTAAAGCATGATAGTTAGGACTGTCATCGATGCCCACCTCATCGATAAATCGCGATGGATTTGCGTCCGATATCGATATCG